GCGGTAATAATATCTTCCATATTTCTGGTATTTGCATTGAGTCACTTCTGTTGCATGTGTTGGGTGTAGACTCAATGAACCATGCAGGATTCATTAATCAACCTCTCTCTCCACCTACCTATATTACTTTTTAGAATTTTAACCCTATCCCACCCTATTGTGTGGTTGTTTGTTAATGCGTGAAGTGCAATAGCTGAGCTTTTTTCTAAATTACTTATCTTTTCAGGGTCAATCAGTTTTCCCTTAGCTAAATTCTTATGTTCTGATACCCTGACTATCCCTGATCTACTAGTTTGACCTATGTAGTTGACTTCACAGTCATTGCAGGGTATTTTGTAAATTATATTATTTTGTTTAACTGGGTCCAAAGTGTCCTTCAACCTACAAAGTTTGTCTCTCAGTGAGTTTGTGGGTTTGAATGCCACCCTAATTCCTGCTTTATTTAGAATCCTACGTAGGGTCTCAGATGTCCCCTCTTTATATGGTATAACAGTGGATGACTTATATTCTCTCTTATATATGTTATCATTACTAGTTCCACAATTATTTTTATTTTACTTATGGCCTTTTTCGATCTTCCTAATAAATTTTATAGGACAAATATTTAACATCGACTGGCTATTCTTTTATCTGTTTCATTTCATCATTTAGGCCTTTTTGTGCTACTTGGTGTTGCTATTGCTCGGTTTGTTAGACACCTAACTTCACAGGGAAAGAAGGATGAGACGAATTAAAGTCGGAATGTCCATTAGCAGAATGCGTTGGCTTTTTATAAACGCTATTGTGCAGTTTACCTTCTTCTATTCGCTTTAGTTTACAATCTAACATCGTAGCTAATTCTCCTTGTTCATCTTCCGATTCAAATGTGAATTTTATTCCCTTCACTAGTGAGTTTATATGTGTCAAGATGCTAGAGATATGTTCAGTTTTTAACACTGTGAAAGTGTCATCCACATATCTCCACCATATTTTTGGAGTAGGATTAAATGTATTAAGAGCAATATTTCCCAACTGTCCATAAATATGTCTGCTACAATAGGGGATATTGGTGATCCCATTGCTACGCCTTCTTTTTGTCTATATATTTTGCCTTGGAATTTAAACATAGTAGATTTTAGGCATAACTGAATCCCTGAAATAATTTCTTCAATGGGCAGCTTTGTCCTATGATTGAGTTCAGGATCCGCAGTTAGTTCTCTTTTAACCGCTTAAAAGGCCATATTGACTGGTATATTAGTGTAAAGACTATTTATATCAAAACTGACTGTTGTTTCGTCATTTGCTAGTTGAATGTCATTTAGTTTACTTTTCACCTTATATGAATTAGTTAATCTAGAGTTTGAATTATTTCTGATAGGGCATAGTATTAAAGCTAAGTGTTTTGATAATTCATAAGTTGGGGTATTTCTAAAATCTACTATTAAAATCTACTATTATAAAATCTTAACCATTATGGAGTTATACTCTACCACAGTGCCCAAGATTTATACTTATATCAATGGTAGCAGTAACGTTCTTTCTTTCGCCTGTTTCATCTAACCTCAGGTAACTTCATTTAGTGAAAGACATTTCTAGTGTTATTTGGTTTATGATGGCCATGAGTAGGATCCAGAATGCACATTTCGTCTTTTATGAGACTTTTCAGGACCTTACAATGTGCCCACTGAGACACTCCTTATCAACCAAATAATACTATGTTAATTTCAGGTCATCGTCACTGAAATGTGCACACTTTGAGGCGATATGTCAACAAGGACTGAATATTCCCGTGAAGTATAACGATGTGTAACGGCACAGACGGCTATTTATATAAGAGTTTGATTGCAGATTGATATCAGTCAGAGAACCGTTGAAAATAGTGGAATACTGAGCGTCATCATCATAGTTCGGGGCTCTTCAGTAATATTTATCCAAGAGCCTGCTGGGCACCGAATCTAGGACTTTTAGATTAAGAAGTGAGCTTGCTGACTGTTTAGCCACTGTAGTGGAATCCGATCATCCATAAATTCTGACAATTTCGCAGTACTCCTCCGTGTTCGGTGATTCTCCAAATGATATCAACTACAGAGCACACTTGAAACCGTTCGAATTCCTGAGGAAAACAAACCAATTCTATTTCACTTCTTTCTTGTATCTAAGCAGTATAATTTACCTATGGGCGGATGGCACGGATGATGATTTCAAAATCAAAACCAGAAAGACAAGATGGACTTTCATGACCTCCAAATCGCTTTGGAAATCTCCTACACTCCACAGCATAAAATACTAAATTCGGATTTTCAACACAGATGTTAAGACATCCAAAGCATTTCCAACCTCTTTGTTGTGAGATTCAGCTGGGGCACTGGACTGCAGTGTGTGCAATGTCATTCGACGGCCTCCTCAATGTATGCCCAATCAGTCCATCTGCATTTCCTTCACCATATTTGCTGAGTAATCGGCTCTTGCCTGTTGATTTGTTCAGCCAGAGTTTCTTGTTGCTAATCAGTTCTGGCCAGCCATTTGATCTTCAGTTTGGAGCCAGCTAAGGTGTCAGCTCTTGATTTTAGTTTGCAGTAGCCTGTTGGCAATCGTTTTCGTGACGTTCAATGCAAGTTTCTGACCCACATAGAAGCAAGTCGTAGAGTTGCAATTTGATTAATATATGTGTAAAACTTGGGCAGTGTGGTAGTCATCTAATCATTCAGAAAATAATACTGTTTCACTGTATGATACATCTAATAAACAAACTAATATGGAATTCCAATTTGATTAGCACGTGATTTGCTTTTCCTAAATCCAACTTGCTCTGTGTTGGCGACGTTTCGCATCCAGTTCATCTTTAATTCTCTCCAGGATGATACCACTCGGTATTTTATTTGGTGTGGACAAGAGCATTATTCCTAGGCCTAGGTAGCCCTTTTTTGGTAGCTTGACGATGTAGTCAGCCTTTCCTCTAATTGGTAGGCACCTTTCCTTCCTTTCGAAATCGTCCAACCGCCTGCTACAGACTTTTATCAGCAACCTTCTGTGCTTTCTCAGTGATGAAGATCAGATATCTGACGAGAATGAATCTGCAGAAAGAAACACTGAGAAAGAACCAATCAAGAAGCTATCGCTCAAGAAATATGCGCGCCAGGCCACTTGTATGGTGGAAGTCGAATTAAAGACGATGAGTTGGACGTAGGATCGACGGTGACATGGAGGAGATTGTGTCAGGCAGTTGAGATAAAAGTTTTGGGGCAATCTTGACAAATAGTAATAAACTTTAGAACAATGGATTTATATAATAAGAAATTCTCAGAATGATAAACAAGTTTCTTAAGATGTTTTTAATTCATCTTTTGCATACTCAAGTGGAGTGTAGAAGAGATGATTGTTTATTTATTTGGTAATACAATATCTTGTTTACTAAGCTCTTTAATCCGTCTGTCTGTCTTTCTGTCAAGGAGATTTGAACACATTGAAGTAAAGAAGATATATCAAAATAACTAATGTTTGTATGATATTACCTTTTTCAATAGGCAAAAGGAATCAAACCATTTGAAAATGGGCGT